TGCCAAGCGAGACGGGAAAGAGAAGAAGAAAGCAACGGGGTTGATGTGCGCTGTAACGACACAAGAAGAAGAGAAAGAAGATGAGTCGCGGTGGCTGAGAACACAACAAGTATTATATACTTTTATAAAAGAGCTCGATGCAGTGTTCGTGTTGATTGGTTCTGTGTACTTTGCAGGAAGAAATGTATTTATTTCAAAGAAAAGGCAAAATAGCCGGAAATTGCAGAAAAATTCAGAAAAAACAACAACAGCTGCGAGGCTCTTCTACGCCGCGCTCTCTCGGGTCCACGACCTCCCGAGCGGATGGCGGCATTGTGCTCATAAAAGAATAAAAATAATAACAAAGAAATTAGCTTCAAATTGATGTATGATACTTAAAATATATTATTCCTGCATTGAACTTTCTCGGGTCGCCGCCGCTGTGGTTTGTATACGCCTCAGCAGAAGAAGATGCTCACACCGGGCGGCTGAGCCCGCTGCCTCTCTGCCTTTTCTGTTATTCTTTTATTGGTTTTTAATTTATAATTTATATTTATTTTTATACTTAATCGAAATTTTCACTGTTTATCTTCAATCAGAAACAACAGAAACCGCTACGCCAAGCCATTGGCCCCCCCGGTGCTCTGCAGGCCAGGGTCGCTGCCGATGCAACCACAAGCTGCATGTACACCCGAGACTAGCGTATCATTAAATTGTTGAGAATTTATTTTATATATTTATACTTCATTTATTTTTCTCATTCTGTTTAAGTGGAGAGAAACTGGCTAAAGCGCCTCACCTTGCACCGCACCGGCATGGGGTGTACGCCGACCATTTAGAACGTGTTTAGTAAGAGTCCTCAATGTTACGACGATATTCTTTTGAGTTGCATTCAAAACTAAATATATCTGCNGTGTTTAGTAAGAGTCCTCAATGTTACGACGATATTCTTTTGAGTTGCATTCAAAACTAAATATATCTGCCGATATAAATATGAAAAGCAGCTAGTAAACACCCCTGCAGCCTCCATTCGTTGGGCATAGGAGGGGGCACACGAGGCCCCTGGGGCTGGTGGTTAGTAAGCAACGGTGAGAGCTTCTGCTGCGAGCTGCAGCAGCACGTGTTGCTGCTGCTCCTGCTGCAGCATAGCCCCGCATGCATGCATGCAACAGAAACTCTCTTTCGATCCAGCCCCCACCACCGAGATAGCTATAAGAAAACGCTTCTCTTCAGGCCCACTGCAGCTAGCTGCAGCAACGTGCAACTACCAGCGGCTAGCTAGCTACCTGCAGCTAGCTACATCTAGTTGCAGCTCTCCGCAACAGTCTACACTCATTTGGCTCCAAATGATACCACTAGCTCCAGCTACAGTTAGCCCTTCGGGCCGTGGCTAGCTGTGGCTAGCTACGGCTAGCTGTGGCTGGCTGTGGCTAGCTGTGGCTAGCTGCAGGATTTCTGCACTGCAGTTCGTAAACCCTTGAAAAGGAGTTAGAGAAAAGAAAGCTCTCACTCAACGCAAACGCTGCTGCACCGCAGCGGCTTCATCAGGGATATACAGCAACACATGATGACGAATAGATATCTCCTCTATATACATATACATACATATATATATATATATATATATATATATATATATATATATATATATATATATATATATATATATACATATGTATACATGTATGTATGTGTATAAGGACCCTGCTCTGCAGCAGGTTGTCTTAAGATAATATTAATTAATTATTTAATTAATTAAATAATTAATTAAATAATTAAATAAATAAATAAATAAATAAATAATTAATTTCGTCAAGCAGAGGATGGCATTGCTGCAACACGAACAGAAGAGAAGTACAGTAGAAATAAGTAAACAACAATATTAATAATAAATAATAATATACAATAATATTAAACAACAGTATTTATTAAACAGAAAAGTTAACTAAGTAGCAGCTAGTTTGTGGCTAGCTAGCCTACAGCATATATAGCCGCTAGCTAGCTGCTAGCTAGCTGCTAGCTAACCCCTAGCTAGCTGCTAGCTAGCTGCCAGCTAGCCGCTAGCTAGCTACTAGCTAGCTGCTAGACAGCTGCTAGCTAGCGGCTAGCTAGCTACTAGCTAGCTGCTAGCTAGCTGCTAGCTAGCTGCTAGACACAGGACACCTGTGGACACCGGCTGGAGAAGGCGGAGTATCTTTGTTTATCTTCATTTTTATTTTTGTTGTTTTTTTGTTTTTCTTGTTCGAGCTGCAGCACGTATAAATCTGTTTAACTTTTATATTATATTATATTATATTATATTATATTATATTATATTATATTATATTATATTATATTATATTA